AGATCTGGCCTGGGTGCCTTTTGGAATGCCCTTTCCTGCCAGCACTGCCAGTGCCCGGGCTGCCTGTCTTGCTGGAGATGCTCCTTGTAGCTGACCATTGTCACTCGTTCCGAATGCTCCATTTCAGAGCTTCAGAGTCAGAAAGACCAGACGTCAAGGAGTCCCCTGAGGCCCCAGCTTCAGCCTTAAGGGATCTAAGCAAAACAACCAACAAAACAAGGAATGTTACCTGATCCTAGACATGAGTTTCATCCCTAGTCCTTTAAACAAAGCTGGCCTGCCCACACACCACCCCAGGCAGTGGTAAGACCCAGCTGTAGGCAGCAGCACACCCATCGATGCTATCTCCCCCCAATCGCTTTTGCATTTGGAATCCTTGCTCTTGGTTTTGCAACCTTTTGACTTGCTTTGCCTGCCAGGCTTTGATATCTGCTTCTTTCTTTTGCAACTGGTTTGGGCTCACTTTGTACCTCTCTGCTTAGCACTTAATTTGAACGTCACTCCAACACGCACAAAACATCTTTCTGCCAGCCTCAGCCCCAGGGACCTTCACCAGGTGCCCTAGGAGCCCTTCCCCCAAGGAAGGAGGCGCGTCGGCTATGGATTTCTTCTAACACACACGGACTGTGGACGACCCTTATGGAAGACAGAAACTGGCAACTCACATGAATCCGGACGGCTTGTATGCCCTTCCTCTTGCCTCGGCCAAGTTGCTAGGAGTGCTGGCGACATGGAAAGGCAGAGGGATGTGGGACATCCCTATGCCTGTCTAGCTCTCACTTTGTCCTAAGGGGACACGCCAGAAAAACATAATCATCTGCCAAGCTAGATGAAGCGGCTCCACCTGTGAGCAACTGCTCACCAGATGGGGCAGCCAAGGGCTTTCATATCCGACTCGTCCTCATCAACAGCCTGATACGTGAGAACTACCGTACGCGCCTCAGGCCGCTGTGGTCCACTTTCCACACAAACAAAATTACATCAAACTGGCTTGGAGCGCGTCAAAGCCCAGATACCGTCCAAGTCTTGCATTAGCCTGTGTGATCTCTGCCCGGGACGGGACTCCGAGAAATCCCATAAAACGCTCCTGAGAGCGTGGCCTTTCCGGGCCCAGACCCGCCCACAGTCCTTGCTGGGACAAGGAGGCCCGCCTGGCTCTGGCCCCTGCCTGCTGCTCTCGCCTCGCCTCGGCCAGGGCTCCTGGCTCAGTCTGCTGTCGGGGCAAGCCTCCGTGGGGTGCTTGTGAACACCCCGCTCATCCCCCCAGAACAGTGTCTCCCCAGCTTATGTGGCCCCTCGTGGCTCACACTTCGTTCAGGTCACATTACGTCTCCCCAGAGACCTTCTGCGCTCACCCTCATCGACAGCAGCCTCTGTCACTCTTAATTCCCCGCTTCATTTTTCCTTGTGGTCCTTCACTCTGTGATGTATTATTCACACACACACACACACACACACACACCCCGGCAAAACGTAGGCTCTGTGGAGGTAGAAATGTTGATTTGTTTTCTCAGTTTCTCTCCCTTGATCAGTATCTGACACGGAGTCGGTGCCCAACAATCAGTAGCTTAAAACTCTTCAAATGCAGGCTGGGCATGGCGGCTTACACCTGTCATCCCCGCACTCTGGGAGGCCGAGGTGAGAGGACTGCCTGAGCCCAGGGGTTGGAGACCAGCCTGGGCAACTTGGCGAGACCGCGTCTCTACAATAAATCGAAAACTTAGCTGGGCGTGGTGGCGTGTGCCTGTAGTTCCAGCTCCTTGGAAGCCTGAGGCGGAAGGATCGCCGGAGCCCCGCAGGTCGAGGAGGTGTGGTTGTGAGCCCGCCACGGCACTCCAGCCTGGGTGACAGAGTGCGACTCCGACTCAAAAAGCAAAACAAGTCCAGATGCAGATACCACAGTTTATACAAGTCTGGAGAAAACGGCTTCCCGAGAACCCTGCCACGGTACTCCCGCCGCCCAAGGCTCTGGCGGCCACGGCAGAAGAGCAGCTTTTCTTCAAGCCGCAAAGGACTGTTCCACCAGGAAGATTCCGGGAGCCAGGCCTGAGCGAGAGTCGCGTGTGTCTTCCTCGCGTCTCGGCGGCGTCCTCGCCGAGCCG